GGTCGCCGAGTTGAAGTGGCCATTTGTGATGAGATGTAGATCACTAACGTGGTTTTGGACGCTGATCTTAAATCTGCCTTCAAAATTTGCAGAACGATTTTCTGAACGGAGTTATGGAGCTTTTCCCTCCGCGTTTACCACGCAACAGGTCATGGGATCGGATCCTTGCTGGACTTAATTTTTTTGCTTCGTGCAGGAATATGGCAAGAAGTGGTTTTAGCGTCACTACTACGTGAGTGCTCACCTAAGCTTGCCTGAAGAGTTCAATTCGAGATCAGCGTCCAAAAACACGTCCGGCGATTCAGGTCTCATTACAAATAACCAATTTGAGCAGGCGACCTTCCCTAGTTAGATTGGAGCTTGAAGAGCTTTCATGCAGGGTTATTGTTTAGTTGCTTGTCGTTTTGTCTCCGAGCATAGTCACATTGACGCTGGTCAGATAATTATAATACTTTTTTCCTTGAGCACTGCTTCCGCTTGCTGCTTTGCCTTGACTTATACAGGCTGTAAAGTATATATTTGTATTATAAATTTGTATGTATTGTAGTTTTTTCAGTAAATTAAATTTTTCGTTATTTTTGATGTGATAACAGCTATTAAAGGAGGTGGAACTGCTCAACGTGTGTGTGGTCCGGGGTCAAATCTCACACAAGCTTCGCTCGGGCCAACAAGGCTTCATGCCGCGTTCATACTTCGCGATTCGTTCGCGCCACCTGTGCGACCTCGATAGATTGTGCTCCACAGTAGTTGTGCAACTATAAATGTCGACACCGCTTAATCCAAAACAATATAGCGTCCTGGTTGGAGCCCTGGCTGAGACGAAGTTTTTGCGTGTGAGTCAGCGATCTTCTGAGAAAAAGACATATAGATGAATGATAAGTGTATCACGCAGTTTCATGGGCAAAATATAAAAATGACATCGACAAGGGTTTCCCCACTGTAATCAGACTATTTCTTTCATTCCCCTTCGCTGTGAAAAAAAAACGAGTTGTTCGGGATTCACGCCGCGACCAACGTTTATATAGGGACGTTGCTCGAAAAAAAGTGGCGGTGACGCAACAGTGATTGGTGGAAACCTGTTCGAAACCCCTTAGCTTCTACATTGATAGACGAGAAGCCCCCAGGGCGTTGGACGCGATCTGCTGGTTACTTTCATGGAAGAGTTTCCCTACTAGATATACTCAACTGGGGCTACAGAAGTTCAACAGCGAAGGTCCCCTAGTTTGGCATGACCCCTAATCAGTTATGGTTTCTCTTACAGAACAAAACGCAGAGAAACCCCGACAAGAGGTCCTTGGGTCGATTGTAGTTGAAGCTCCTTACTATGTGCTTATACTTTCGCAATTTAAGGAGACTTCCACAGGGGTTTAGTGGTTTCTAACATATTCCGGACCACCGTTGTGCGACGATCTCCTCATAAATTAACCTGGTAATCAGCATTTTTATCGGTTTCTTTGTTTTTTTTTCTTCTATGAAATATTGTATTCTGTGCCTAACAAACGTGTTCTGATAACTTCGGAGCATGAATAAGATGCCAAATAGACCGTATGAAACGGCGCAGAGAGAAAAAAGTATGACACACCATGTGTGTCACGCGGTCGGAATGTGTTAAACAGCAGTGAAGCGAAGGCTCTTCAGGGTCCCTTCAGCGGTGACACTAGCAGAACTGGAACTATTTACTCTTTACTGCCCCAATCCACAACTGAGCCAGTTTTTCACCGGCGGAACATATTAGTCTCAAATGCCGTCTGGGTAGTTTGACCTCCTGAATACGAATATCACATTCGCTTAGCCTGAAACTTCCTGGCGCCCGCGCCACAGGCGCCGGTGATTGGGGTATTTGGCGCCAGCGCCTGTAGCGCGCGCCAGGAGGTTTCGTGCAGAGCGGATGTGATGTTCATGTCCAGGGGTCAAACCAGGGAACACATTTTCAGCCAGTTCTACCAACACAGATAAAAGCCGGTCAAAAACTCGCCTGTTTCGGGAAGATGCAGTAAAAGGTAAATAGTGCCGCAGAACTTAAGTTGAAGCTGCTGCCGGCTTCCCTATAAAGTCTGAGAAAAAACAAGGGCTTGTTCTGCCTGAGGCATCGCTAGCTTTTTGGCAATTCACCTTAGGCAGCAGGAACTTGAGTGAAACCTGTAAACTCTTGTGGAGCTATGAAGCGCTGCAAAGGAGCCACATAAGTTACAGGGATTGGGACTTTGCAATGGGGCCTATCTCGAGCCTATCGACACTCGCTGAGTACTATTTGGTGCGCCAATTGAGCCGAACCGCGCCAAAAATGAAACACAACAACAACGACTCATTTTTTGAGGTTTTCAGGCGTTGAAATTGCTTCTTCTCCTGCAGGCATAATGGTTTTGTTCTCTCTAGAAGTCTGTCCACATTTAGCCGCAATCGGTGGAACCTGACTCAGGCGAGAGTTGCTTTAAAGCTGCAAACCAATCGGTAGTAAATCACCATCGCTCTTAAATGAGAGATCTTCTGAGTTTTCACACAAGAGAAAAGGTGTCAGCGAGGATTTTCTGGAGAAAAACAATAGCGATTCTCAAAATGATGAGAAGTTTTGGGTGAAATTGAGAAAAACCCTAGAATCTTTCTTCATCGAAGTCCCCATTCCTTGTGGCTGTCTCGCCGACTGCCTTGAATAACCGATGGTCAGGTGTGAGAGCATTGCAATTTCGACAGTGAAGGATAGGGCGTAGCGCGTCATTAATGGAACGAGATTGACGACGTCTAGAGATGACTAGTGCATTTTTTTACGAAATGGAACGCAGCATGTTTCGATACAGTCCGTCCAGGATGTAGCCGTTTACGGCTCCACCCCATTAGAGATTGGTTCCAAATAATCCATCGACACAAGGATAAAGCCTAGTTAAATAGGTTAAGGGGTGATTAGCGCTCGTTTCCAAGGCATAGAGATTTGCAAGAGTATGTGGAATTTAGAAAAGTAGTAAGAAATTGTTTAGGTTACGTTTGCTGGAATTAGCGCTTGCCCACTTGGTCAAGACCGATAATTGAATGACCTTGAGAATTTTGGGTCTCAGCGGTCCACAAACTAAACTTCCCTGTCTGGACATAGCTCTGTGCCCTCTGCTATAGGCCAGGACCGTCTGCAAGTAAGCATTTCTGAGCGTCGATAAACTAAGGCTATAATTTCTCAAATGGTCAGATGACGCGGTAGGCGACTGTGGAGTCTGTGCTACATAAAAAAAGAAAACTTGCATGAACTCTGGTGGAATTTGAGCTTTTGGGCCCATGAGCAACACAAAGGCTCATGCCAACCTGACACCTAGTAGCCCCTCTGTGAGCCCAAATTGAAGGGTGGGAATGATTAAGAGAAAAGAAGTAATATCGTTATGATAACGACGGGTAGAAATTCCTGCATACACGCTTACTCTTCATTGTGTGCTCGTACAAGTTGGGATCGGTATGGAGTTCTATACAGGGCATTTCGGACTGTTATTGTTGTAAATTTTAAAAAGCCTCCAGCCTTGCGGTTCACTGTTGAACGACTAACCGGCTCATCACGTTGAACGTAGAGTACTCGAAGGCAACGCATAAATAGCTGTTGAGCTGGGGGGGGGGCAAGAGTAGCCCCTGTAGCGTAATAGGGAACGCAACCGCATGGGAAGCGAAGATGCGGCTTCGAATGCCGCATCTTCGCTTCCCATGCTTGCTTGCTTAGAACAGGTAGTGGAATCTTGCGAAGGGCCAACAAAATGGCAAAGTTTCGTGGTGATTCCGATTTTGGCTAGGGGGCCAAGCGCTGATTTCACCAGTTGCCTCAGCAGGTTCCACAAAATTAAAATTGTGAAGCCTTTGGTCTCGCGGTTCATCATCTAACGATTACGGCTGACCGGCTCACCAAGTTAAACGTGTGAGTGCTGTAAGGCTACGGCATAAAAGCCGTTAAGCTGAGAGGGTAAAAGCGGCCCTGGTGGCGTAACGGATAGCGCACTCGCCCGAAAGCGTGAGGTGCGGGTTCGACTCCCGCCTGGGTCCGACTTTTGCCCATAACTCAGCATTCTTCTCTTCTCTCTAGTTCTCACATACTTCTCTGAACACCGCATACTCTTGCAAATGCTTCTGTAGCTTGAAAACGGGCGCTAATCGTCCATGGATTTGAATGGCGAACCTCTGTGCCAGAGCCGACTACATCTCACACGATCTTTTTGCCCTTTATGGCGAATCGGCATTCACCATAAACATGACTATATGGCGTGGAGATCCGCCATGAAATCAATTGTTTACGTGGATTGTTCCGTGCTTATGAATCCCATTGAGCCAAGTTAATAAAACTTCCATTTTCCTTGAAGCTTCTCGCCAAATCAGGTTGTAACTCTGGCTGAGGTTTTTTTTGCACTTAGAATGGGGCGGGAAACAAGGCGCAAAGAATGCGAGACGGTACGCTTGTGCCAGCTGCTATAAAAGGTGACCGGCTAAAATGGTAGTGGTGCGCGTCGACCAATGGATGTCATCGACCATCGTATCAAAGCCTATCGGTTCGTTGCCTATGCAGCTGTGGGATTTTCAGTAGTAGCCGTACTTTCGGTCTGTGTTACGCTACCGATAGTATACAACTATGTGCACTACGTGAGGAAGTCACTTCATAAGGACGCATCGTTGTGTAAGGTATTGTTTTAGCCTAATTAAAATTGGTCCTCTTATTTCCATCCGTAGAGGGTATTTATATTGGTATGGTTCAGATATCAACGAATTCTATTTGGAGTGACGTGGTCAATTTGAAACAAGCCCATTTCGGCAACAGAACCACGCGTCAGGCTAATTATGAGGAGATAGAGAACGGAGGATGCGAATCCTGCTGTCGACCTGGGCCTCCAGGTCCTCCTGGCGCGCCAGGAAAACCGGGTAGACCCGGAAGACCGGGTGCACCTGGCCTGCCAGGGGTCCCAGGCTTACCGCCACCAGACAGCAGCTGCGAGCCTGTCTCCATACCTCCATGTCAAGAATGTCCAATAGGGCCACCTGGCCCGCCAGGAAAGCCGGGTGTGCCTGGAGATCCAGGAGAAGATGGACAACCAGGACCTCCTGGTCAAGATGGCAATCCAGGCCAACCAGGACCGAAAGGCCCTGCAGGACCGCCTGGATTACCTGGAAAACCTGGTGAGAAGGGAGAAATGGGAGATGATGCTCAATGCGAACCGGTCACCGCTGGTGAGCAAGGACCACCTGGAGAACCGGGACTGGAAGGACTGCCTGGTAGTGCTGGTTTGCAAGGACCTCCTGGAACACCCGGTATGTACTCTGAAACAATTGACACTAAGTTGGTCGAAATCACAAAAAAAAAACATTTTCAGGCAAGCAAGGTGAAAAAGGACCAAGCGGAACTGATGGTCAACCAGGACTCGATGGCAGCCCAGGACGTCCTGGGCCACCTGGACCACCAGGACGTCCAGGCGAACCAGGAATTTGTCCCAAGTATTGCGCTATCGACGGTGGTATCTTCTTCGAAGATGGAACTCGTCGTTAGCTTGAGCAATCTCTACATAATAAGTTATTTCTTCCCAAACGCACTCTTGACTGTTGCGTTGAGAATAAAGACAATAACGCGAGAAAGGTGACGCAATTAAACGCTTTTATGTTGGTGGGGACTAAAAGCCTGAAAACAAGGCTATTGCCTTCAAGCAACCCCTTTTTGGGGTTCTGTCAGGTACCATCACATCAAGTATTGGTGCCTTTTCCGGACGGCATTTACAATGAATTAACTACCAAATGTACCAGCAACCTGCCCATTTTTGATCAGGAAAGAGTGCTCCATGCTCCTTGAATTCCTGCTTTTTCAAAGAAAAAACTTAACGCCATTGTAAGGTCGCGACAATATCTCTTAATAAAGCTGCTTTTCATTCGATAGGCCCCGTTAACGCAAGGGATAACGCAACACCTCGGTAAGCGGTAAATGCGGGTTCGAGCCCCGTCGGGGCTCGACTTTTGCTAATATCTCAGCATTCTTGTGATCTCTTGGCAAATTTGCTACTTAAGTGAGCACGCGAAAAAAGATGACAGTTTAGTTGGGCTATTGTCTGATCCATACAGTGGGTGGAGGGTACTAGCTCACTAAGCACTTCTCGCCCACTCGTCTTCCTCCTAGAGGCGTTTGAAAGCCTTTCCGAAATGGGTGAGCTGACTAGAGACCCAATTAAGCTTCCCCAAGGGAAGTGAATTCGTGGTATCATTTGCGAACCATCAGCCTATAGCACTTGAGGTGCCCTATCATTTGAGCACAAGCTTGAACGTGGCGCTCATGCAAGACCTCATTGTCTTCTCGGAACATCTTAAAGGCAAGCAGTTCGCAGACCCCAAATTGCGGAAATTCGACTCAAGATAGGCACAAAAAAGTGCTAAGTATCTGATTAGCGGAGAAAAGCAGCAGAAAAAGCAGTCCGAAATGTTATAGAGAAAGATAACATAGTGGCTACTAGCTAGTAGCTAGCAGCCGGTGAGGGTCGGCATGGGCCTAAGGGGTGTCCATGGGCCTAATTAGTCAGCTTCTAGCGGAGTTCTTGCCGTTTTTCACATTTTGAAAGTAGCGCAGCCTCAAAAATCGCCTTCCGGATCGTCCGACACATTTGAGAGGTCATAGCCTTATTTTATCGCGGAATGTGCCTTTAAGTGTCTTGAGTACGTCGAAATTAGTAGCCCTTCATCATGTATAACTCCAGTACATCTGACGGATTTCGTTGTCCTCGGCTTGAATTTGAAGTCGTTCAGTAGGACGGCCATGCTGTCTTCCATACTATACCGAGGTATGATTTCCAGTAAAGGTAAAAAAAACACGAAAGAGAAATAGAAATCCCATCACCAGAAGTAATAGTTGACATAATAGACGGAAATAATCAACAATATTTCCAAAATAATAATTCCCACGGTATCCGCGCTAAAGGCGATCCAAAAAGCGACAGTTACCATCAGCATCCCGGTTCCTAGCAAGCCCATTTGAAATAATAGAGCTTTTTCGAATGTTTATGCCATTATTTGCAGGGTGAACCTATGTATAAGTTGGCGTTTTATCCTCCTAGACGAATCTATCAGTCTACTGGTCAAAGAGTTGATCCCCACGGGAGACTAAAGGGGCACTTGCCTCTACAGCACCCACCTGGTGCTTTCGGTATTCCATGCGAAGAGATTTGAAGTTTCATACCGAATGTGAAGAAGGGATATCTAATATCTTTTTCTTCTGGAATTTCGGACGGTAACGATTTGCAAGCCTTCCGGCTACATGAGATCCCAGCGCAAAATTGCGCAGAAGGGAAACCGCAAGGATTCTTCTGGGGATGATATTCTGGATTTT